CAAATGCGGTAAATGCCTGTCATACCCTATGTGCACATTACTTAAACTAATCGCAGATTTTGATCTGTTGATTTTTGAGAATCTTCCTCTATAAAATATCTACCACATTTGTGATCAGCTTGATTGATATTTCCATGGGATTACACTGATACTTTACTCTTTTAAATTAAAAAAGGTTTTTTTTTAAATCAGGCTGTAGGCGGAGACAGATATAACATACTACTTTGTCAAGAAAGTACAACGAAAAAATTAATAATGAATGTTCAATACATTTTTATTTATCCTTTATTTTATCAGTCTCAGAAGCATTGCACGCCAACGAATAATCCAAATATCCAAACATTTTTCAAACACTGTTTCCGATATTGAGTTCATTTTTCACCTCAAACCGAAGTCGATGGGTTTGAGGTTCTGCTGGATCTGTATCTGGTGAATATGCTGTCTGCTCGATGGTTGGTTGAACTACTTTGGCGTGTTTCATACCCAAATGATCACTTAAAATGGTACGGATCGACTCGTGACTGTGAAATACTGATTTTCATTCACTATTTCCTTCACGGATATAATTATTTTCGAAAGTTTATCCTTCCGGATGAACTCGTCAAATATACCACAAAGCCTGAAGACAAAAGTCTTCAATGAGTGCATCCTACTAGTGATGACATATAGAGCAGGGACGTGGACACAGACATTGCGACTGATCCATCAATTTAAAGTTGCGCGGGGAGCTGTATAAAGGAGCATACTTAGTCTTTCTGAAGGGTCGTATTCGAAACGAGGTGATCCAGCATAACTAAGTTGTCAACATAGCCCAAAGGATTAGCAAACTGAAATGGCAGTGGGCAAGTCACATTTATCGAAGAACCGATGACCGCTGGGTGGACGTGATCTAGAGTGAAGACCATGTCTAGGCAAACGTAGTGTTGGACGCCCTCCAGCTATGCTGATCTAGACTCCAGATAGTGCAGGGTGGTTGGTTGTGGTTGGATGTGAAAAGCTCAGTGGCGTGCAATTGGTGGGGCCTATCTCCAGCAGTGGACGTATTTAAGCTGATAATGATGATGATAATTTCCGTCACTTTTGTGGCCTACCAGAGCCAGGCAAATCTTCCATCTCGACCGCTTTTGAATGCTTTGTACCACTCATAGGCATGTGTTTATTATAAAGTCGAATCACCAAGTCTTTTATAGGTAGATACTATTTTCGAACATCTTCTGACTGCGAACCCGAACTCCATTGATTGATCCACTAATTATGGCGCTATTATATAAAATACACAGATATAGCACCGGCTAGAGGGATGCTTTGAGGATTCAGAGTTCCATGGTGGATAGATTGAGAGGGAGTCACAAATTGGGAATTAACTCTCCGGACCTGTAATCAAATCCAACGAGGACAAAGGCTGGAAAAGTGCTAGTGGAATTAATAATTAACTATTAAAACAACATATTTCTACAGGACAAAACATTTTAAACGAGTTTACGAATACTTATCTAAAAGGATGTGGTTTACATCGCTTTATCGTAATAACTACACAATAAAAGTTTATCATCTATTCGTTATTTTAACTTTATGCAGATAAACAACTGGCTTACTTGCATTTTTCCTTGATCCAGTAGTTTGTGCCCACCTTTGGTCCTAAATTCGGACAAAAAATTTAATGAATTAGAAAGAAAATCATTGTAAGTCAAGTTCTGGATTTGAATTTCCGTAAGTAGAAAGCACTTGTGATCCTCCAGCATTTGGATACCTTATACTTGTAGGTCTACGATCAGTGCAACAAGGCGAACAAATGTGAGATTACGCCATCTTTGGATTGCTGGTCCCAGTATCTGAAGCCAATTGAGAAGTGTTAAGTATGTAGGTAATGCTGTTTCATAAGTAAGATTATAATAACATGATTTACATAACCAAACTGGCCCCGGGTGGACCAATTCAATAAAATGCCGATTTAAATAGAACTTAGATAGTATAAAATTGCAAACGAGAAGCAATTCCAACTAAAGCAGAATCTGAAAATATTGTAAGGAACAAATACATTCACAAGTTTTGATTTGTGTAATAAAGTATCGTAAAAAACTTAATCTATTTTTATTTTAATATTATACAGTTTAGTTTTTAAACTGTTATCAGCTACCTATATAGACAGTGACGATACTCGTGGGCGTGAGAACAAATTTGTGGGAACTACATTATCAGTGTTACATTTTTATTCAACAATTTTTCAGTACATGTATGACGCTTGGTATCGGGGGTGACAATTTTTGTATCATATTTATAGACCAATTAAGCTGGAAATGTTTATTTATGACTCTTTCTCTATTCTTCGGACTATGTGTAGGTAACATACACAATTAACTTAAATTAATTGACTTCATCTCGTTTGGAAATAAAGTTGTGATAAAATCATGTGTGACAATAAGGGAACTGAGTTTGGACCACCGCACAGAGCGTAATTTTCATACTATAAAAGTCCTTCATTAAATTAAATTTAAAGATACTTTCGAGTTTTTAGACGGATACTTATTGCAATTATATAACACAACATAAGTAATTATTTGCAATTACAAAATCACACACAATAAGTAGTGAGTACTTATTCTTCAACTCAACTAATTTATTGTGTTGTATTCTAGTAGTCCTTTTGTTCGTTGAATCACGTTTCAAGCTCGAGAACATTTGCGAACTAGATGAAACTTAAAGAACACATTTGCTTACCTTTGTATTAGTTTGTAAAGTTGGAAATAAATGGAGCGCTGAATAATGAGAACAGTACAAACAAAACAAAAAATATTTTCTCGAAACACCCTTTTGAGCTTATAATTTGGGTGTAGATAACATTCATTTTACAGAACTCATTTCTCAACCTTCTTATAATGCAACAACTACAGTACCTACTACAAAACTGTAAAATATTGAACACCCTTATAAAAAAACTAAACTTGATATGAATATTATCGACACGTGGGTGGATTATTTCGAGTCTTGTCAAAGCTCCGCACGACGCGACGGCTTGCATAAAGATCAAACGTTGTAGCGGCCGCCACGTGGCCATCCCTTCCTAATAAAGAGATACGTGACGAATCGAAATATTTCTACTATGTTTATTGGAGCAATTTATAAATATTCACGTCTGTAACTAGAATGTAGCGAAGAACTGTCAGAATTCATTAATTCGATATTGAATATTGTTTTTTTTGCCTTGCGACTTTGAGATCAAAATATAATAACTAAATCTCAGTTAGGATAAAATGCTTTTAAAAACATGTATATAATAAGTGGCATACATACCTACCCTTTGCATTTTCCGTCCATCGAAAGTGCAAATATTTTTCCTTTGAAACTTAAGAAGTTTGTTAAGTACTTAAGCAATGCGACAACAAAAACAGTTTCAATATAAAAAGCAGTAACAATTCCAACACTTAGCTAACGTTTATCATCGATTGTCGATCGTAGTTGGACGCTTTCGACAGCACTCGATACATTTCACAAGGCTTGCCGCCCTTTGTTACAAAACAGACACATTAAACGGTTCGCCTGTCTGCGATCATTGAGACGTTTCACTTCTGTCCAAATGTTTAGATCCGTATCAGGTAATTGACGCTATATTTGTCTAATCATCCACTATATACGAGCAGCACAATATTTGAAGAAAAAATTATAATCGGATAAGTGCGGTCTTAGATTACAGATTTTGGTAATGTTGTTTGTCTTAGATAGCTACTCTCACGCGGTTTCTCCCGCTGATCGGCTCCAATTAATCGGAGCGTGATTTTTATAGCCACTAGCACACTCAGGAACATTGTAGAATCTATCAGTGAAAGAATTTTGGCAATCTGACCAGCGGTTCCCTACATACAAATTTTACCTCTTTATAATTTGTCTTTAAAAATTCTGTAAGTTATATGTAAGTAAATGTAAGAATTATATCGTCGTATTTTCGTATTTTGTAAACAAAACATGATTAAGCTATCAGATAATTTTGGGCAAGATTCAGTTCAATGACTGGGCACTTTAGAAAAATATGGTATTAATTCAGCAACTACTACGGTATGTGAACTATCTAAACTGGGCAATTTTGGAAAGCAAGCTACTTTCCTTTAAATTTAAGTATCAAGCTGATGTGATTGATAATTATTAGAAAACATATATAAAAGTAAATTTTATACTTAGGTAAAATATTAACGTTACAAGTGGTTATTCTAGCTTTAGGTAAGTAGTACTTACAATAGATTTTTTGGAGTCATGTTTGGAGTAGGTACTTGAATAATTTCGGACTTTTACTATCCGATGCATTAAGCGATTAATTTTAACCAAAAACACTCACCAACGGCAACGAGGCAATGAAGCACTAAATTTTGGTTGGTGAACAAACACTTTATTGAAACATTGGGTTCTTAATGTAAGTACCTTTAAGTATTTAAGTTAAAAATAACAAATTAAGGTTTGATTTTGTTTCTTCTAAGCTTCAGCTTCAACTTTATACGAAGTAACGTCGAGTTCAGGCGCCATATCAATAACAAGTATGGGTTAATAATAATAAGTAGGTACATTGAGACCCTTTCATTGAAATGTATGCCATGATGGAATACAATTAGGCTACTGGGCGTCCAATAAATGCAGCTTTCATCAGCCTTACAAAAATATCACGTTTCACGCGCTCTATCGCATCCTGGGATCCTTCTCCCCTTTTATAACACTGTATATAACGTACATTTATCTCGTTACAAAGGAACAAAAGATCTGATACAAATACATAAAACACTTCAAACGTCGACGCAGGATAATGCCCATCATTATAAATTCATGTGTTTTGTCGTTTACAGTATTTATTTTGAACAGTTTCGAGGGGGAAAACCCTCTTTTCGCTTGAAAGCTCCCGAAAGCGCGATAGAAGGCGTCGGGCGGTGCCGCAGGGACCCGCCATTGGCCCATTTCTCCCCACCCGTCAAAGACTCCGCCCTGGTGGAAATTCTCCCTGAACCTTAACGCGGCCGCTCATTCAGTCAGCAGTTGTCGCAGCGGCAGGTAGCCGTGTCGCACGGACATTTAGCGTGGCATAGCCATTTGAATCATCAGTGTCGCTGAGTCAGTGCGGTGTGTGTGTTCGAACTCGGCTGTGATGGTGAATATATTCTAGTGCATTTCTAATATTCGTGTAATGCACGCCATGAGTGATCCAGCTGCTTTGGCAGGCATGTTGCCTTTCGATTCTATTGGACTGTACGAACAGCCTAAACCGAGGTTCATCTTTAAAATGCCACGGGTAGTTCCTGATCAAAAAGCCAAATTTGAATCCGACGATCTCTTTAAAAGACTGAGCAGAGAAAGTGAGGTACGTAATGCAGTCATTAACATTCAATTTAAATATCGTTTAAGTATTGCTTGCAAGTAATAGAATAGAATATTAAATTAATGTTATTGGTCATTTGGCATAATTTTAATCGTTTGCTAACAGGAAAATTACATGAAATTAATAAGTCATCCGTTTGGAAACATTTTAATTGTTCTTGGTATTATTTTCCTTTTATATTATTGTATTCATAGTTAATAGCTTTATTGTATTCAAAAATCACATTGCCTACGTTCAAATTTATAAATATTAAATACATCATTTTAACTCAACTGATAATATTTAGGTGAATTAAATGAACTATACAACTAATTGGTTCTTACGTGATGTCAGGTGAGGTACACCGGGTACCGCGACAGGCCCCCAGAGGAGCGCCAGATGCGGTTCCAGAGCGGCTGTCGTGAAGGGCACACGGAGATCGCGTTCACCGCCACTGGCACCAACCTACAGCTGGTGTTCGACCACTCGCCCTACAACAACCGAGGCTGCGACTTCCAAAAAGAGAGCGGCAAGGTAATTACACACGCACACTGCCTTCCTTTTTAGCCAGTAGCTAGGTATTGCCAGAATTTTCCTTTCAAAACAAATGTTATCGCAAGTAAGGTAACAATTAACTCTTTTTAGGAATTTAAACCAGGTCCATGGTTCGTAAAAAAATATTAGGATTATTTTATTTAAGTATATGTATATTTTTAATCTGAGGATTATATATTTGAGATCATCACGCAAAGGCTGACACGGTATTTCCATGGATTTTCCAAACGACTAATGCGTGTCGTTAAGTTACGCGCACAAATTACCTTTAAAGTGAAAGGTATCATAGCAGTAATCATAGAATCTATTTGATTTTTGCAATTATAAACGGATACCTATTTTAAATTAAATAAAGTCAAACTTGTACAGTTAGGTGCTATTTATTTCTATGTAATGCTACATGTACTAAACGTACCTACGAGTATATAGGCATACTCATAGACAAATACTTTGGTTTGAACATAGCTTTGCCTTCGGGAGGTAATACATACCTATATATTAGATATGTTCAAAAAACTACAATAAGCAGGCATTACTAAATTATGATTGAAACTGTTTAGATCAGGTAAATACCTACAATTACCGTCGCTGTACTATATTGGAAAGACTCGTTAAAAAAGATTCTACGGGAAACCTATGCGTTCATATCATAACACATTGTACCATTGTACCAAAACATGCTTTCTTCAGAATACAAATCCTGTTTTCATTCATTATAATTAATTAGCATTTGCACAAAATTAGTAAATACAAATAAGTCGTGTTTTAATATTATACAACACCATTTTACCTGCTGGGACACTGATATGGGAGCCTAATATTTAGTTTTATGGAGGTATTGTTATCAATATTAGTTATGCAAATATCAAGATTTTGAAAACAAATTCATCCTGGAACTGTGTTTGTTAAACACATCTGGAGAAGGGTGACGTGAAAGCGTGGGGCTCCGTAAACTTTTCCACTAAGTGTAGAATCAGGACATTGTCAATATAGAAACATTCGAATAAACTGTACCGGAAAATAATAACCTCAATTAGTGATCGAGGCACGCACAGTTATTCTATAATACAACAACACAATAAAGCTGCATGAATCATAGTTATTGCGTCGGCTTGTACCAATGTATGAGTGGCTAATGCTTGATAGCCTCATTCGTCAACGACCATCTTTCTATTCGGACGCGCGTCATCAACGTTCCGAGTTTCCGGTCCGTATTCTCCATAACTAAAATTAAGACATCAATATTGAAGCTGCTAATGACAAAAATATTAAAGGCGTAAGACCGCGTGTAACGCATTGGTCACGCTCTTCTTAATACGCTCTTGAGTAAAAGACATCTTTTCTTTGACGAACAATTCGGGTCCGTCTAATGTCGTGTGTGCGTGATGATTAGACATGAGGACGAATTTATTTAGAAGCTTATATCATTATTCTATGTTCCTATAAAGAAGTGGGTCACTCGTATAGATGGGACGCAACAAATTATAATGTGAGGGTAGTTTATAGGTGCGTTGGAACATAAAAAAAAGAAATCATCCAAGTCACTATTGCACGTGTCACCATGACATGAATTCAAATTATAAATTAAAATAACTTCCACATGTTTACTGGTTTTAAGAGACATACATACATCTATGATTAATGTTCAATATTTACTCGGTGTTTGTAATCGAAAAGTTACTATTTAACACTAATCGTGATGAAATGATGAAAAGTTGTAAAAATACCTATCACATTTCTTATCAAAAGGGAAAACAATATAAAAAATACTTTTCTGTCATTATTATCGTTTTAATACAGGCATATGATTCTGTATGAGCTGATATTGGAATATTTTCTTATATACCATAATCAGACCACCACAGCCAGTTTTGCGGATGCAAGCGCAATGATGGCTTGGAGCAGAAAAAAAACCTTTGCAGTTTTCAGTCAGAAGGACTCTGATACTCTCGCCCTCTCATCTGAGATCCCTCTCACCCTATACAGAGTGAGACAATACATTTATACATTTCCCACTTCAATAAAAAGGGATTAGTCCAGTTAAGTACTGAACTATGAATGATCCTATCTAAAACCAAACACTAAGTAGGTATAACCGATGAATATCAAAAACGTGTTTAGAAAAGTCTGGAAAACAGCTACATAATTATTATGGAAAAAAGAATGAAAAATATTAAGTATTAATTACTTAATTTCTTACATCATACAAAGTAGATATACATACATAGAGAGACACATTATTCATGACATTTTAACAATGTTACAGTTTTGAGCTGAAAGTATTAACCTTAGTTTATAACTGTCAGCTATTCAGAGCTATGAACACCTGACTTGCCTAATAACATTTCAAGAGGAACGCATTTGGTGCAAACTTTACTTTTATTGAATTTAGCCCCCTCGCCTCGCAGTCAAGCCCGCCTGCTGTGATCCAGTATGAATACTTATATTTATTTACACTCGGTTCATTTAACAAAGCGCTTGAGTGTGCACGAGCCCTCTTCTTGTAACGATGTTTTATTATAGCATACTTCAAACTACCTACTTGTATATTTCATATTCAATGTGATAGATTTAAAATGATTGACAAATTATTTCTATTTTTCTCTAAGGATTTTCATAATAATCAACGCGTCGTTAACTATACATATAGGTAAGCATATGAAAGTGGTAGGTACTATTTGTGACATAGGGTAGAAGGAATTTTTCCGTTATACAAGAGTAGATAATAATCATCGTTACTTGACGCCTGATTCCAAGACAAGTTCAGAATAAGTTAATATCTTTTGATTACAGGGATTTGACGTTATTTTTATTTTAAACAACTCCCAAACGTAATTTTTGTTTTCTAAGTAGCTAGGTATGTTTTTCTTAACGCGATAAAATAAACTTTGTTGGTTCTTAATTTTGTTTTTAATAAGCAATTTTTACGAAACTACCTACTTTCGTATAAATCTCCCTGGAGATATCCGCTTGTTACAAACCCCCCTTCCTAAGTAACCCCACGTAATTGGCACGAGGGAAATATGAAGTACAAAATAGTAACAAAGTTGGCGCGCTGGGAAAGGGGGAAAATAATTTCCCCTGAATCAATATTGGAAAAGCGCTGGGATTGGTGGGCGTCCCGACGACGCGCGCCGCTCCCGCCTAGCCAATATGGCTGCCACGCAGCGTCACTGCACTCCCTCCTTATCCTGATTAATTTCAATACGAACATACGTCACTGAACTGATAAATGAAAACTGAGACTTAGGTACATTAATCAATTTTTCCAAAATAATGTCTTTTTAAATTGTAACAGAACTCATCTATTATTTAGTAGAACAAATTAATATGTGTCCTATGAGCAAGTAGGCACATTTGTACTTCGGTATGATTGTTTCGTCAGAGGTTTTTATTCAGTAAACGCATGTACTTAGGTATAAGTTTAAAGATAATGTTAAGTTTAAACATACGGCAGGCGTCGGAGTTCAAAATACAAGTTAAAGGAGCCTAAAGATAAGTAGTTATTAGTAAAATTGCATCCTCGTCGAATGTGTGGCACAATTAAAGGTTTGTTGCAAGCGGATGCGGCAGCCGGAACAAAGGCAGCACGCGATCTGCTTCGACACACGTCTGCCTTATGTCGTTTTGTCCTTCTGCTTTGTTACCAAAACTTACAATCAGGCTTTTTCTTGTTTAAAATTAAACACCGGTTAATTTTGAACTACATGTAGTACCTACAACGCTTTTTTGTAATACTTAATTAGGTCGGGAGTGAGGTAGCCAGGTTACACAATAAAGTATCCCTGAATTTCTAAAAATGTTATTTCTTCCTCTAAGTAATAATTCATCAACAAAAAACTGCTAGTCTCGTTCGATATATTTTAACGGATAGTCCGGAATGGACAGTTTCTACCTGTCTTTTTTTAAGGATCAGTTCCGATTCTTAGCCAAATGTGATTGATAAATGCATTTCAACTTTGCCACCAACAGTGTGGAAGTTTTTGTTTATCCTTTTTTGTGCGTCATTTTAAAAGTAAGTTTTTGTCAACAGGCCCACATCGTATCCCGATTTATCATGAATGGCGTGTGCGTGAGATGGCGGGGCTGGATTGATTTGGAGCGTCTCGATGGAGTAGGCTGTTTGGAATTGGACGAGGAAAGAGCAGCCATCGAAGACGCGGCGTTGCGTGATCAAATCGAGAGGTATAATCAGAGGCTGCGGGATTTCGAAGATAAGCAGCGTGCATACCGCGAGCACGGGGAGGAGTTACGAGCTCACTCACACGTGCACCAGCGCTGCCACCAGCCGCGCCAGGCGCCGCACGCCGCGCATCCAGCCCACCCGCACCCGCCGCACCCAGTACACATCAAACCCCACTCACAGGGCGCTCTCATCTCATAAATAACATGATCTGCATTATTTTATACCATTTAATATTATTGTAGGACAAAAGCGCAAAACAAATTCAAATGCAGTAGACAATGACCGGTCTTCTTTCGCAGAGTACACAAAACTTTCAAAGTAAATCATTTTAAATACTATAAAGTATAACAATTAGATTTCAACTATCGTCATATGTTAAAGTTACGGCTTTTACCAAGCATTTATTAATTATGTAGAATCTATTATTAATGACAAATCGTCATGATGAAGCGTTGACGATACATGCAATGTTAGTTTAGTCGTTAGTTGTAAGAAAATGTAGATATTTATATGTAAGAAGAATCGGCGTGCACAATGCACGGCCAATAACCGCTCACCCATAAACATTATACATACATAGACATCAATGAACTCTTTTTATTAATCATGTGACTAAACTAGGCAAGTAATCGTAGTACACACCCATACAACACCATTTCAAAGTTTAGCTACATAGCTATAGTAAATTAATTTTATGACGTCATAAGAATGTCCTGTACCTAGTAGGTATTAGATAATATTTTAACCATAACAATACTCGCTTAATGCCACTCATTATTACCTTCCTATCTTGCTAATTTCAAATATCAACATAGTTCTTTATTCTTAGTAGTTAATATCGTAAAACATGCCTAAGAACTGTACCTACCCTAGAATAGCAATCTTAATCAAATTAAAATTCTGTATTTAGAATGTATTCTAATTAATGAAGTCGTTAGCAATTTGATATACTTTGTTCTCATTATTTGTAATTATTATTGATATTATTGATAAATGTTTTTGTTTAGTTTGTAGACAGGTTGGTCAGTAATTAATGGATAACTTTGTAGTAGATAAGAGCATTTGGAAACATATAAAACTAAATACATTAAAAACTATGTTAGTTTTGGGAGAGCCATGCTTCGGCACGAATGGGTCGGCTCGACCGGAGTGATACCACGGCCTCACAGAAGACCGGCGTGAAACAACCACAGTGTTGTGTTTCGCCGTGTGAGTGAGGTTACCGGAGGCCCAATCCTTCCCGTCCCCAATCCCTCCTCAATCCCTAAATCTCCAAATCCCTTATCCCTAAAAGGTCGGCAACGCACTCGTAACTCCTCCGTTGCGGGTGGTTATGGGCGGCGCTGATTGCTTACCATCAGGTAATCCGTCTGCTCGTTTGCCGACCAATTACAGTAAAAAAAAAATCCTATTTCCTAACCAAATTTAAGAGGATCAGAGTTTTTGGGCACATTATAACACCGATGCGGATGTTCATTCACATATCTGAGCACATTCTGAGCACTTATTCGTATAAAATGTGACGGTTCCTCACAAAGACTATAACGCCAGCAGCAATTGTTGCAAAAAAATCAAAATGGCATTAGGTACTGCTGCATTTTATCTGCATAAGTCGGTTATTAAGAAATGTGTTTCGTTTGCACTTTTCAGAGCTTCGAGAAGTTTACAATTTTAACAAACACTCTGATTCTGTTCATGTAAAAAAATCTCATTCTTCTGTAATGATTTATCCTTACTGTTCGGCTCTTTACGGGTATTGGGCACTTACCATAGTTGCCGTAACTGTGCAATGAGAATAATTAGCCATTCTGGAGAAATGTGGCAGTTCTCCCCAGGCCAAACTGCGTTGTCGGTAGCAATCTGAATCAGATGTCCCTAGATATTTGATAGAATACATATTACACTGACGAGCCTGTATATTATGTATCTTGATCCTTGTCTGCTTAGGCGTTTTATCTGAAAAGATATGAGTTTATTCAAGTTAGATAGGTGAGTTATCATGTTAAGTGTTCCTGCTTATTATGGAAAAGAAATGAAACGACCTTTAAAAACTAAACTTTCATTTATTGTATTATGCTACGTCTAAAATATCTATCTATTACTGACATCCTGTATATAACAAAATATAATTATTGTGATAATATTGTAAATAAATGTTTACTGAAATTTTACTTTTTTGTATTGTATTAAGTGTCCTAATAACCATCTGAGAACAAAAGAACTAAGTAAGGAAACTCAATAGATACTTCTTAAGAAATAATTGGAAAGTACACAACATTCTGTCTCAACAGTCAACAGTAAACTAATTGGTATCTAAAGTAAAGAAAGCATGTAAAGAATTTGGTAGCAGAAACACACGGCTGGCGCAGTGATAAGAGGCGGTACCCCAATGAAATCTTCATCTTATCTTCTCTTCAGGCTTATCTGCAAAACAAATAGCGGATTTTTTTCCGTACGAAACAATCATTCGTATGATCCATAATAGGTATGTCAGGCGTCCGTAGAACGAAAAGTATTTTTTTTTTGTTTGTTAATGCATCCGTAATTAAAGTAGGTCATTGTTCAGCTTATAAGGTGACATGACACGCAAAAAAAATATTTTCTTAGTTAGTTATTGGGCCTCATAACGATACCTTTGTTCGGGAAGGACCCGGTGACCAGTATTTATTTTAATAACTAACTAAAAATAAGAGAAAAAACTTAGAATACAAATTATTGGACTATGCCATAAAGTAAACTTTCTTACTTTATTCTGCTTTAAACCCGCCGTTTTGTTTAAAAACTGTTTATTGGCAAATTCAGCTAGAGTTTCTCTAAACACAGAGATCTTTTAAATCGCTGAAGACAAAGACAATTATATTGTGCCATGAAATTTAATTATTTGTATTTGATATTTTTGCGGTATGTTATGCCGATAAGCAAAGTCAAAATCATTTATTTCAACCACTTTTGAACGTCTAAAAAAACTATAAATTGTAAAGATGCGAGCAGACATTTGATTTTAGTTACCGGACCTTTGGTCATTTTTTCGAGTATACTTTGAGTGCCATATAGTCGATGAACATAAAATGGCGATCAGTGGGCACGATTCATCGGGACTTAGGGCGGTCCCTTCAAGCACTCTCGATCACCCGATTTAGGGACACTAACCTAACAGCGATCATATCACCCAATCCATCGGACGGACTTTGACAACGGTGCTTAAATCAAAACTTAACATGCTTTAACTCGTTTATTAATATTTTTTCTAAGCAGGATTAATTTGTTTTCTATTTTTTTAAACGTTTTTTCTAACTATTAATATAAAATAAATTAAATTGGTTAAAGCGGAAAAACTAGAGAGACGTGTTATCTATGAATTTGAATCTTATCCTTGTGACCTAACACTAAACTTCATCATGACTGTCAAGGCAGATTATATAAGTTCATTGGCGATGAGTTTATTTTGTGTGATCACTAAGTTTCCATTTTCATATCCTAAATCCCTCATCAGACTCTGAATACCATCTAGCACCAAAGCAATCGTTAAAACGAATCATACGAGTACATACTCGATAAGATTATGCCGATTAATTTGTTGGTTCCTATCCATCTTTCACCTCCATTATCAGACACCGACTATAATCTAGTAAAGCAATCGTAAAAATTGATAACTGAGTTCCTATGGCTAACTTCCAGCTCCATCCTCCATCATTAGAACCTGGTTACCATTTGAAGATGACCTATCGTAAGGACGATAACTATTTTGATGTGCTTTTATCGGCTCGTTGCGAAGATCCTTTCCTATGGCCACCTTCTAGTCCCATCGCAGCATTTGCAAGATTTTATATATACTAATATTATAAAGAGGTAAAATTTGTAAGTTTGTATGTAATATTTAGAACCGCTGGTCGGATTGCCAAAATTCTTTCACTGATTGATACCTACAATGTTCCTGAGTGCTATAGGCTATAACTAATCACGCTAGGATTAAATGGAGCCGAGCAGCGGGTGAAACCGCGCAAGATTAGCTAGTTACAGATAAACGGACCAACGTCGGTCAAGCACCTAAACAAAAACAAACAGCAAGTAAATTGTTAGGTGTTTACTTACTACTGATCATTGATGCCTTTTTACTCTATGTTTTTCACAATAGAAATAATATTGCCACCTATTTTTCAGGCTATACCCAGACAAGAGCTTAGAGAACTCATTTCAGCATGCTCTCCCCAACCCTTCGCAATCCCTAAATATCCGAAACCCTCATCGTGTCGCGATTGTCTATGTGCGGCGCCGAATGCTTATCATCAGGCAATCCGTCTGCTCGTATTTTCGGGTAGGAGGTTCAACAGTATCAATTATCAAGAGGATGCGGTCGTATCGATTCTGCATTCTCATTCAACCTGCGAACTTATTACTTTCTTTTTCTAAGACGTTCAGAAAATATAATAATTAAAAAAAAATTTAGTAATCACCTCAAATAACGCTTAATGCGTTAAATATATAAATAACATTATAATCGACTACCTGTTGTGAGCACTACGAAGGTTTCGATATCGTTTAATTACAATGCGAGGGTGGCCGTCCCCCGAAACGTACACGCTAGTGGAATCGGAGATAATTAGCTTGGTGGCATGTTTCGAACAAATGCCGGTCACTGCTGGTGCGCTGGTGCCGTGTGAGGAGCACGCGCGGTGCACCTGCGCCGGCGCCCGCGCCTCCGCCCTTCCCCGCCCTCGCTCATTATACGCAATTTACCCGACGAACAAAATGCTCATATTCATGCTCGTTAAACACGACACACATTAAATGCTTGTTTTAAATGTTGTTGTTAAATTTAATGATAGGTAAGGTAAGTGCTTACTTAGGTATGTAGGTACCTACTAATTTAAAATACTTAGGTTTATAATAAAAAAATGATTTGTACGGATTTGTTCGTTTTTATTAGTTTGTTATCGATGGAAACATTTTTTCTTACCGCTTTCGGTCGCCACAATATCAACAAATTCTCAATCGAATGCGAATCTTGCCTTTATAAAATTAGATGACTGATATAGATCTGGATATAGATCTATTGATTGACAGAGCATCCCTACCGGCTGTGATGTTTGACGGTGCAGTTATCCCATTCAGTAATGATGTTAAAAATTTTGGCCTGATTATTGATAACAGTTTAAAGTGGCGTGCTCAGGTCACCAGTGTTTCTAGCAAGGTTACTGGATCCTTGCGGGCCTTGTATCGCGCGAAAAATTTGCTTCCACCTGCCACGAAGGCTATGTTGGTGCAGGCCTTGGTTTTCCCTATTATTGATTATGCTGATGTTTGCTACTACGACCTGAATGCAGATCTTCTCAATAAGCTTGACCGACTTCTTAATAACTGCATTCGATTCGTTTTCAACCTGCGTAAATACGATCATGTTTCTGCATATCGGCTGCAATTAAAGTGGTTGCCCATACGCCAGCGCAGGGAGCAAAGGGCGCTTACCACTCTATTTTCTTTTCTTCATTCACCTTCTTCGCCGAGTTATCTATCCCCTTACTTTCAGTACATATGCGCAAACCACAATAAAAATTTACGTTCTTCTCATAACCCACTTCTTCAATGTCCTATTCATCGCACTGATTTCTTTCATTCTTCCTTCTTCGTTCAAGCTATCTTCCTGTGGAATGCGCTCCCCCTGGATGTCAGGATGGTGTTAGGTCGTTTGACTTTCAAGCAAAAAGTTCGTGAGCATTTATTGAAGAAATTGGCTGAATCATCACAATAAGCATATTTATATATATAATAATATACATATATAAGTATGTAGTATCTATTTATTTATATTAGTGTTTCTATATTTATTTATACATAATTTGTATGTATTATTAGTTTATGTAAGATTATATCGCTATTGAATTTGTTTAAATCCATACATTATTATATTGAGTCTTTGTTTTAGTCTATAAAATTTTTGCTGCTTGCGCTCACCGTTTTTACTCATCTCTGCATCACCCAAAGGTCAGACTGGTAGATAATGCCTACGGCATTAAGTCCGCCTATGTACAGAAATTTGTGTGCATAAAGCTTAATAAATAAATAAAAAAATATAGATAGGGGAAAGGAAGGCAAAGCGGACCACTTAACAAAAAACAACTATAAAA